GGTCTGGGGGTTGGGAGCTCTGCATGTATGTTGCCTACTGTATGCTGAATGTATGCCATCTGATATGTACTGGGTTGGGGGCTCTGCATGTTTGTTGCCTGCTGCTAAGATGTCTGCTGCATCCATGTTATCGACCCTTTCATTCTGAAGAAGAACAAGACTGACAAAAAACGAAGAAGACTGACGCGAAGAAGAAGAAGAAGAAGAAGAAGACTTATAAGATGGACAAGAAGAAGAAGAAGACTTGTAGAATGACAACTTGCAGGAAATCTACGAGTTCTTCAGCAGCATATCATCTGCATATGGCCAATATCGATCCACATTCTAACACATCTCTGAGATGGGAGGGAGGGAGGGATGGCGAGATGGGATGGAGGGAGGGATGATGGAGGATGGAGAATGGCGAGATGGGATGGATGGATGGATGGATGGATGATGGAGGGAGGGAGGGAGGGAGGGATGATGGAGGATGGAGGATGGAGGATGGAGGATGGCGAGATGGGATGGAGGGAGGGAGGGATGGATGGGAGGATGGAAGGAGGGGAAGAAGAAGAGGACAGAAGAAGACCTAGCGAATGGAGCAGAAGAAGAAGAAGAAGAAGAAGAAGAAGAAGAAGAAGAAGAAGAAGAAGAAGAAGACGAGAGGACGACGAGGAGAGAAGAAGGAGAAGCCGAAGAAGATGAGTGGAGGAGAGAGAGGAGGACGGACTTCGTTTTTTTTTTTTTTTTTTAACCTGTAGTGTATCACGTGACCTACCGAATGTCGACGATCTAGGAGGAGGAGGAGAAGGAGAAGAATAAGGAGAAGAAGAAAGAGAAGAAGGAGAAGAAGAAGAATAAGAAGAAGAGGAGGAGAAAGAAAACGAGTGGGGGAGGAGGGGAAGACGAAGAAGAACAAGAAAGGTTGTGGAGGTAGATGAAAACGCGAGGAGGACAAGGGGAAGACTAAGAAGACGAGAGGAGGAGGAGGAGAAGAAGAAGAAGAAGAAGAAGAAGAAGAAGAAGAAGAAGAAGAAAAATGAGCCGAGAAGTTTAGGTGGACGGCCTGTCGTATCTCACGTGACCTACCGCATGATGAAGAAGAAGAAGAAGAAGAAGAAGAAGAAGTATGGCTGCGGTAGGGTATGGTGGCGGTAGGGTATGGAGGCTGTAGGGCATGGCGGCGGCGGGGTATGGCGATAGGGTATGGCGGCGGCGGTAGGGTATGAAGAAAGGCAGGGAGGGAGTAGGGAAGGACGGGAAGAAGAAGAAAAAGAAGGAAGGAGAAGGAAGGAGAAGGAAGAAGAAGGAAAAGAAGAAGATGAGGAGGAGAAAGAAAATGAGTGGGGGAGAAGGGGAAGACGGCGAAGAAGAAGAAAGGTTGAGGAAGATGAAAATGCGAGGGGGACGAGGGGAAGACGAAGAAGACGAGAGGAGGAGGAGGAGAGAAGAAGAAGACGAAGACGAAGACGAAGAAGAAGAAGAAGAAGAAGAAGAAGAAGAAGAAGAAGAAGAAGAAGACGAGTCGAGAAGGGGGGGGGTAGGTGGTCGGCTTGTCGTATCTCATGTGACCTACCGAATGATCAAGTAGAAGAAGAAGAAGAAGAAGAAGTTTGTCGGGGCCTTCGTCGTTACCTGCAACGGTTACCCTAACAGCAGGGCCTTCGTCTGCCCGTCCAACATAACCCTAAACGATTACGACAGGAAGAAGAAGAAGAAGAAGAAGAAGAAGAAAAAGAACGGCACCTTCGTCATCGGGGCCTTCGTCGTAGTAGCAGCAGCAGGACAGTCGGGGCCTTCGTCGTAGCAGCTGCAGCAGGACTCTCGATGGCGATGGCGAAAGGCGACGGGCGACGGGCGACGGGCGACGGCGCAGCAGGACGGCGCAGGAGCAACGGAGGTTCGAATCGGGGGGGAAGGCGGGCGGGAAGGTCCACAGGCTCTGTGGCCGTCGATCATGGTGGATCGACGGCCACAGAGCCATCACAAATTTTCAAGAATCCCGCAGGCCTACCGGGCCCGATGGGACGGTTTTTCGGGCCAGTCGGACCCGGTAGGCCTGCGGGAGGCCAACAGCAGCGAAAAGGGGGTCCGAGACCCCCAGACAGGTGAGCGCGCTTAGGGAGCTTGCCCCCAACCGGGTGCCCTGCCCGGCCAGGCCGCCCGGGACCTTCCCCGGGCCCCTGCCAGCCAGCCAGGCGGCCCAGATCCCCACCCAGCGCAACAGTCAATTTTTTGGATTCATGATTAATCTTTATTTTTTAAGGCTGTGAAGACATGTTTTGGATTAATTTTTAACTTTTAACGTTCAAGGTTGTGAAGACTCTCAATTTTACTTACTGTGAGGTCATGACCTGAAGAAAACCCGCCTTTCTTTTCTTATCGTTGGTTTGATGATTCGTCCAAATGTGGCAAGTCCTTTTTTTTCAGGGTGGGGGGTGGGGGGCTTGACTGACACGCGCTGTTTTTTGTGTGTCTGCTCTTCCACATGCGCGTCATGTACGCGTTACGTGGCAAATTGCAAATGACAACAGTGAAGATCACATCGAGCTGTTTAGCGGGGAGCAGCAGAATATGAAGAAGCCACTTTCCACAGCAGAAAAGGAGTACATGAGCCAATTACGTACGTCTCCCTCCGAACAAAAAAAAAACACTTGTCTCACTGTCTGCCCCCTCTGCAACCCAGGTCACCTTCATGATTTCGTTCAGTGTTTTTGACATTTTGTTCATCTGTTTTGGTGACCGGTGCCCGTTCCATTTCCTACTACGCGCATTGGTGCAGTGGCAAAATGTGAGGCAACCTCTTCATTCTTGAATGAATGTGGTCCAATTTATATGGACTAAAGTCAGAAAACTAACAGATCTGACAATTCTCGAAAATGGCAAACCATTCGGGGGTCACCACCCAACTTCTCGAAAACCAAGAGTATTGCAGGCTGGGCCGGAGGTCGGTTTCGAGAGGATCCCATGGAACCAACATTCTCACACCTCTCAACATTTTTTTCGTTCCTCCGATTTCGAGAGGCTGTGTGGCACACCAAGATAATCCAAGACCTCTCACTGCCAACCCTGTTGCTGCCAACCCTGTTACTGCCAACCCTAGTTACCAACCCTAGTTACCAACCCTAGTTACCAACCCTAGTTACTGACCCTGTTACCAACCCTAGTTACTGATCTTGCTCCCAACCCTGCGACTAATCCTTCTGTTGATCCTGTTACTGCCAACCCTAGTTACCAACCCTAGTTACCAACCCTAGTTACCAACCCTAGTTACTGACCCTGTTACCAACCCTAGTTACTGATCTTGCTCCCAACCCTGCGACTAATCCTTCTGTTGATCCTGTTACTGCCAACCCTAGTTACCAACCCTAGTTACTGACCCTGTTACCAACCCTAGTTACTGATCTTGCTCCCAACCCTGTGACTAATCCGTCTGTTGATCCTGTCACTGACCCTGTTACCGACGTTGCTACCGACCCGGACCCTGTTTCAAACCCTGTAAGCAAACTTGCTACCAACCCTGTTACTGACCATGCTATTAACCCTGTTTCCAACCCCATTACCGACCCTGTTACCAAACCTGTTACAGGCCCTGTTACCAAGCCTGTTACCTGACCATGCTACCATTTCTGTCACCGACTTTTTAACCGACCTTGTTACCGACCCTGTTACTGACCCTGACGCTGTTACCTACCCTGACCCTGTTACCTACCCTGACCCTGTTACCTACCCTGACCCTGTTACGAAGCCTGTTATCGAGCCTGTCACTGACCCTGTTACCGACCCTGTTACCAAACCTGTTACAGGCCCTGTTACCAAGCCTGTTACCTGACCATGCTACCAACTATGTCACCGACTTGTTGACGGACCCCTTGTTACCGACCCTGTTACTGACCCTGATGCTGTTCCCTGCCCTGACCCTGTTACCTACCCTGACCCTGTTATCCTGGCCCTGTTACCAAGCCTGTTACCTGACCATGCTACCAACTCTGTCACCGACTTGTTGACGGACCCCTTGTTACCGACCCTGTTACTGACCCTGATGCTGTTCCCTACCCTGACACTGTTACGGAGCCTGTTACCGAGCCTGTCACTGACCCTGTTACCAACCCTGTTACCGACCCTGTTACCTACCCTGACCCTGTTACGGACCCTAACCCGAAATGTAATGGGTCCTCATGGCCATGCTGTGCCTGCATTACAGCTTGTAAGTCGCAACTCGCTGCAGCACTCGCCGTACTGGTTGATCAGTGGACCACTGTCACACTGTGGCCTGCACCTGGTCCAGTAGTCGGTGGGATGGCTGGCTTTGTGTCAGCGACTCAGCAATCAGTGCCCTGGCGGGATTTGTGAACGCCTCTTGGCAAACGCACCGTGTAAGGAATGTAGTAGCAAGTGTGTGCAGCAGCTGCTCACCATAGAAACCCTCGCGAAGGTGTCTGTGCACACACGCGCGATGGTTGAATGAGTCCCAGGACACATCTGGAAGTCTTGTCTTGAAAACCTGAGGGCTTGATTGTCTTCTCAGAGACCCATGGTCTTATTCTTTCTGGGGGTTAGATAGATGCTTGCCCTGGGGGTTAGATAGGTGCTTGCCCTGGTAGTTTTTTTCCCTGGGGGTTTAGTCATCTAGTTAGGTAGTGTGAGGAGTATATTTGAGAGAAGAATGCAGCTTAGGTTTTTTTTTTTTTTTTTTTTTTTTTGGGGGGGGGTTTGGTTTTGTGGGTGGGTTGTTTGGGGGGTTTTTTTTTGAGGAGTTTGGGGTGTTGGTTTTTTTTTTTTTTTTTTTTTTTTTTTTTGTCAACGTATTTCAATGTGACCCTGCGGCGCTCAGTTTTTTTAACTTCTTTTCTTCTTTGTCATATTTCAATGTGACCCTGCGGCAAAAGTTGCTCAGTTTCTTTAACCTTTTTTTTTTTTTTTTTGCCAAACAATTACTCAAAATTCTTTTTTGCTTTTCACTTCCTACCCACCGCTACTCCTAATGCTATATAGAGGGGACCCCTGCAAGCATAGCTACCTCACAATGAAGGGATTGCATGTTGCCCCCCGCCCAACGCGAAGACCGAGCATTTTGTCAGTATCCGCGCCTCCCTTTGTCATCGTCCTCCAACCCTCATCAAATAGCGGCAGTGTCTAAGTCCCATGCTCTCCCACACACCGCAATCAACCCACTTACACTCACACCCGTGCTGGTCAAAGACCCTACAGATACCGATCAGAAGTATCAAGCTGACTATCACACAACTGGTTGGCACTAACTGCGCCGCAGGCGTTTATGAACTTTATGGATTTGGGCTCCTCTAGCAGGGCGCAGAACAGACCCAAAGTCAAAAAAAAAAAAAAAAAGATATATATATACAGGGTCACCAGCCCGTACGTACGGAGGTCCCCGGGCAAGCCCGTACGTACGGAGGTCCCCGGGCAGACCTCCGTACGTACGGGCGTTCGGGGTCCCGTACGGGGTCCGAACCCGATGGCGTTCGGCCCCCGCCAAAAATTATTTCAGGGCCTAAAAATAATTATTCTTTTCTGAATTTTTGTTTTTGAGTTCTCTATGACGTGAGGTAGATGCCTGTTAATTTTCGAAGTCATTTGGCTATGCCAAATAAGAATTAAAAATCGCCAAAGATGGCGGTGTCAAAGCGTGTTCGCCCACGTATTTTTTCACTTTTTACTTTTTGTTTTCACTTTATTTCGGGGTCTAAACAATTTTATTATTTTTTGAAACTTTTTTAGTGGGTTTTGTATTATGTAAAGTACACATCTGTAAACTTTCAGGGCATTTAGCTATGCCAAAAAATATGATAAATCGCCAAAGATGGCGGTGTCGAAAACATGCTCGCGCACTCACTAAATTTAATTGTCTTTTTATTTTTATTTATTTTTATTGTTAGTATTTGTTTTCCGTATTTTATATTTATTTCAAATTTGGTAAGGAGTTCGGATGTAATGCTCAATTTATTTTTCTCCATAACATATCTTTTTTTCAGATTTTTTTGATGACTTTTTTTTTTTGGGTCCGCGTTCGGCCCGAACGGCCGAACGCATCCCCAAGGGGTCCCATACGTTCGGGCGTTCGGGTTCGGGCGTTCGGCCCGTCCCGAACGCCGGTTACCCTGTATATATATCGTCACAAACAGAACTGCCCGGTAAACCGTAGGCAGAGAGAGAGAAGAAGACAACAAACGAGGGGCTGTATATATATATATATGAGGGTTCAGCCTCCTGATGAGTCGGTGAAACTCCGACGAAACAGTTTGTCACAGCTCCTCGTTTGTTGTCCTCTTCTCCCTCTCTGCCTACGGTTTACCGGGCAGTTCTATTTGACGATATATGACGATATATATATATCGTCACAAACAGAACTGTCGGTAAACCGTAGGCAGAGAGAGAGAAGAGGACAACAAACGAGGGGCTGTGACAAACTGTTTCGTCGGAGTTTCACCGACTCATCAGGAGGCTGAACCCTCTACAGTCTGCAGAATCCCCTCACTG